AACCCCCCCCCCCCCCCCCCCGCCTCGCCCGCACCCGCTCCGTGCAGCTGAACGCAACTTTTCTGGTCTTCTCAGGGATAAATCATTTGTTTTATGCATGTATTGAACATCGTTTAAGACCTATATCATCATGAGCTCTTGCTGAGATGCAGTTTCCCTTGGTCCGCGTATTCTACTGATAACCCTATTGAGATGCATTTCTTCTGTTTTATGCTGCATGCAGAGTACGAGGCGTTTCTGCAATTGCTGCATTTCATGTCGCGGCTGAAATTCAGGAAGACGAATTTGCCCGAACAGGACGCAGTGAGTTTTTATATTGTTGTTTAATTTTAATTAGTATGAAATCATTAGGAAAATAGTCGATATACATAACAAAATCAGCATGAACGTGTTGAAGGCGTATGTCTTGTACTTCAGAAACCGCACAAACGAACTGGAAACCGAGAAAGACCCAAAGAAATTTCCTTCTGCTTTCGGCTTATTGAAATGCGTCGCAGGTCAACGCCATCGTTTCGCATTTATTGCAAATCGCACCGAGGCGCGATCGGCGGCACAAGTTGGTCCACTGTGGCGTTCAGGTGAATTGCATGCATTTTGCTTATCATTTTATCTTCTTTTCCCTTATATTTGACGCATTTCTGCCCTCTCTGCTTACACAACGCTTCATAATTGAATATGCTGATCTCTTATTTCAGTAGGTAGATTCGTCTGTGCTCGTTTCTCTCCCCACCGGCCGCAGGTAAAGCCGGAGAGCGCTGATAAAGCATGTTCTGCTGCAAATGAAACAAAGGACGCCAGCGTAGATTGCGAGCCGAGGCTAAGAGATCAAGTGGTGCAAGAACAGCCTGAGACTCTGGAAACTGGTGTTGGGGCTGTTGTTGAAACTAAAGAACAAGGAGAACAGATTCGTATGGAATCAGCTGACGTTGAGGTTCAAGTAGACCTAGTACGTTGAAGGCACTGTACGGATTTCTAGTGATTCCTAGCACTAATTAATATCTATTTTATTTAATTTTACTATAATGCTGTTGCTAATTATCATATGTTATGCCTCGTAATAACAGTAGTAATGCATCTATTAAAGCTGATGGCGGCGAGAGACTTCCCTTAAAGAATGTACTGCAGCGCAGCAGAACCGTCAGTGTTGAGCAGTTTAATATCTTCTAGTTGTGCTTAGCTTGAGGTGAACTGCAGATGAAAGAAGAAGAAGAAGAGAGGGAAAGACAGTGGCAAGAGAGGGAAAGGGCTTGGCGAGAAGAAGAAGAGAGACGAAAAAAACAACAAGAAGAAGAAGCCGCAAGACTTAAGGCTCTTGAACCTCCTCCTCCTCCTCCAAAGACCTTTTCAGAAGCAGAAACTCAAACAACTTTTTCAGGAGAAGATGTTCTCACAACTATCGACACCGAACAACCTCCTGAAGTCCTCAGTAAGTCGCAGCAAAACAGCAGCAGCAGCAGCAACAACAACAACAGCAGCAGCAGCAGCAGGAGGAGGAGGCAGACAGCATATTGCATATTTCTGTCTGTCTGATGTTGCTCTTTTTCATTTCATTGCATGTCTACAGTATCGTGTAGACATGTAAACCTGCGCTATAGAAAGGGAAATAAGTTTGTTATATTTGCATCTTTAGATGTGTGCGTCTGCTGGCTTTCTGCTGTCTGTTAATATATTTGTCTTTAAGCTAAAATCATGCATTTCTTTCTGTATTTCTGTGGATATGCAGCTGCCCTAAGAGGCGAACAAGATAGTTTACTGTACCGAGCATTCTGTCTGTACAGCGAGTTTGTTCCAGGGTATGCAAAACAATTCTTTTCTTGTATTTATTTAAATCATTGATAAATAAAAAATACAGATGTTTATATTAATAATAGTAAATTGTATATCTTGAGCTAGCTCCTGCCGTTTGTATGCAGGGGCGTCTTCTTTATTTTTTCTTTTGCTTTCTTTTATCTCTTTCTTTCTCTCTTTCTTCTTCTTTTGTCTGTCTGCAGAGCTTGCGAGAACCTCTTATCTGAAGTTAACTGCGCATTAATGTTTAGAGATGGAGACCTCATGGCTGTGCCGATGCACCCAGCTATTCGTGGTGTACCGCCTGCTTTAGCTAGAGATTTTTTTCAACAAAGTATATATTAATGTTTATAGTGTTTAAATGCATTTAAATCATTTGCTTATTTATATGCATTTGTTTCTGCTCGTTCAGGTGTACATGAGTTTATTTGTATATAAATACATTTAAATCGATACAGCGAAATATATTTTAATCTTTTCACTCAAGTATATCTTTGTAGCTGTTCGTTTAATTGTATTTGAATCTCTTCATTTAAATAAATATTTAATACGTTTAATATTTTAATATATATATATAGTATATATATTTTTGTTTATTTATTTAAATAAGTATATTTAAATGTGTTCGTTTAATTATGTTTGTAGTTTTTAAATCATCTCGATGAATCTAAGGCTGCGCGTACACCCCAATTTGAATTAATTTGAAAAAATATTCAAATTAATTTATTTATTTGTGATTATTTTCAAATTCAGACAGCGAAGCCAATAAGGCCTTCGCTACCATCTTTACTTTTAATTTTATATTTCTTTTAATTGCGCTTGTCTTGCTGCAGTTGTATCTCGGCGGGGACAAGCAGGAACACAGCAGCAGCAGCAACAGCAGCAGCAGCAGCAACAACAACAGCAGCAGCAGCAGCAAACGGAAAAGAAAGCTGATGAAACAAACCCCCCCACAGACGCTGCGCCTCCTACAGCCATTCACTATGACCCGGGGCCTTTGCTGAATTATCGCGAGTTTAAAGCAGTAAGCAGAGCTGCGTGTACAGTCTAACATTGGTAGAGAATATTTAAATATATTCTCAGAGAAACTTTTCCTTCACTTTAAAGCCACATGCAGCTAGAGACATACAGCAGCAGCAGTAGCAGCAGCAGCAGCAGCAGCAGCAGAACAAACGCTCTAATGGGTGCATTATATGCTGCTTTTGTTTCTGCTTTTCTGTTTATTTATCTTCTTTCTTTTTACTCTTTCTTTTTACTCTTTCTTTCTTTACTAATTAATTTCTTTATTTATCTATTTCCTTCCTTCTTTATTCGTATACATATATATATTAATATATTTTTATTTATTTTTATTTATTTATTTATTTATTTATTTATTTATTTATTTTATTTGTTTATTTATTTGTCTTAGTTGGTGTTCCTGACGAGTCAGTGGATTTGCGAAACTCAAAACTCATACTGGTCCTTCGTGCGAGTTGTACGGTAAGCAGAGGCAAGACATTTATATATAATATAATAT